TGGCTATCCGACTTGCTTAAAGAGGTGATGTATGTTGCATAGGCCTGAGCTATTTCAGCCACACAAGGATACCGGCTTTTAATGCACGTCAGTCCAGTCATCTGCAAGAAGCAGGCTCGAAAAAAATGGACTACCTATGTTATATATTTTTTCTTCAATTCAAATATACTTACTAAAAGGCATGCTCTTGAATATTGTTATGCATCCAATACATTTCCCGTTCGAAAACGGACGGGAGAGTTTGGTTCAAAAAGTTTGCAAACAATCACATCTCCAAGTTCTAAGCGTTAGGACTTTCAAAGAGAGAGCCAAGTGGACGGTACGCAGATAAACGGTTCTTCGGGAATAACCTTGTACCGAGAACGTTAGCTAAAACCGGTTCCCACTCTCCCTCTCTCTCTCTCTCTAAGCGACAAATCAAACTAAAACAGTCAATCCGAAGAGCAAGATCTCTTTCTATCTCCACGTTTCGTCCCTATGTTCTGCGTGTAGCTGATGAATTCGTGTCTTTCTTCGTCGGTTAGGCTGTCTAGAACAGCAGAGCGTTGGCATACGTGACGCTCTAGTCCTCAAATCTTTAGGTGAGTGATTTCCAGCTGGTTATCAGTATATCATCTCAAGGTTTCAGTGGTTATAACCAACGAGTACGCCGTAGCGCTCTCCAATAGACACTTGGATATTCGTTTCTTTCAATTCAGTCTTGAACAAACTTAGCCACTACTCTTGACTCGACCAGCCTGGTGTTGAAACGCAGGTAGCCATTAAGTGCCTTTAACACCGACGGATCCTTGGATTGTTTTAAAACTGCAAAAGCAAGATAAGTATCAGAGATCATGTTGGTACTCGCAAGAATGTATATATGTGTTCGCGAAACCGCCGGAAGAGGAAATATGATTACCATCATCCTCTACCGCAGAGACGAGGCTTCACGCTAACAGCCGTCAGCGGACGGCAAACTCATCGGGTCAGGCAGCGAACGATAAAAATCGATCAGCCCGCGGCCACAACTTCACTTCGCTGATCGATAACGACAGTTTAATTTTTGACAAATGAGAGCCAGCCCTAGATTTTCGAAAGATCAGCGAACAAAAAACTCATTCCGATGAGCAAAAGCATGATCGCTGTTTGAGTAAACCCTCCAAGATGACACGAAACCTAGTTCCATGATGCCGGCAGTTGAATGGACAGTGGGTATTAGAGGGTGCCGCAGAGATTGTGAGGAGGAAGAGTCACAAACAAATTGATTGGTGACGTTGGTTTCCACAATAAGTTTGAGAGTGAGCAATGGAAAAACTGGTTTTTGAAGGCAAAACAGAATGGGCAGCCGCCCGTAACGAGCTTATGATAAATCACTCATCGACAAGACATGGACGCCGAATTCACGCATGGGTTCACATATTTAGCACGTTCCGACCTGGAGTGGCTGGGTAATGGCCGGCCCTTTCTTTCGTTTATTGCTGGCACAGTTTTCTGGTATAACCGTCATTTTTTATAAATGTCAACTTAATTTAATCACCTCTTAAAATGACTTTAAGGCAACAGTAGCTTTTGTAGCCCCACTCATTAATCCCTATAACCTGCATGTTTTCCAACGAAAACGGTGTTTATCGGGTTTTATGGGCGGGA